GGCCCTTCATGGCGAACTTGCAGTGGTCTGATGTGACCTATTGCAAGTACGGCTAGCCCTACAAGAAGGCCACGCGGCTGTGGCGCAACTTGCCCTGAGAGCCCGAGCACGGCCCTTGCTGCGCGCGCTCGCGCTGCGCGCTATCCGAGGCCAATGGCGGGCGGCATCCGGCGGCGGCGCAGCGGGGCACTTTCCGCTGCAGGGGCGAGGTGGTGCAGAACAGGGCAGCTTTACAGCATCCCCGAGGCGCTGTGCAGCGAGATCGCCTCGGCCGTCAATGCCCGCGTGGTCACTGGCACTATGACCCGCTCCGCCGCTTAGCCTTCTTGGGCTTCTCCAAAGCTTCTACCCTTGCTTGCAGCTTTTTGCAGACGCCCCACAGCACAGCTGTGAGCCTCGAGTAGTCCAAGGTCATCAGCTGCTGATCTTCGCGGTGTGCGCTGCCGGTGACGCCGGCGCCCTCGAAGTCCTGGGCCACGAAGCCCAGCCTGCTCTTGTGCGGCACGTCCGTGCGATCGTAGCACTTGGGCACCGCTTTGTCGAGGATGGCCTGCAGCTCCTCCAGGTCGGCTTCCCTGATGTTCTCCTTCAGCCTCGCGTCGCTCAAGGCATTCAGGCCATAGTTGTAGGTCAGGTCGCCGTCTGTCTCTTTTACTACCGTAGTACTACCGGCGCCGTGCCCACCTGGTTCTGCAGCGAGATTTGCTGCCCCGGCGCGTTCAGGGAGCAGCCGCCGGCGCCGTCCACCTCCAGCCGCGCGAAGCCGGTGGAGTTGTTGCAGGCGCGCCACGCCGCTGCTTGCCGTGTTCTTCAGCACCGCGCCGACGACACTTGCAGGAGCCGAGTCGGTGACCGAGAGGATCCTGGTGAGGCACTGCGTCTCGTCGGCCTCGATCTTCAGCAGCTCGTTGTTGGAGCCGTCCATCACTCTGGTGCCGGTGGTCCCGCCCACCAGGCTCAGGTAGATCTGCCCCACATCTGTGGCCAGCACCCGTGTCGTGACTTGCGCGGTAGCCCTGGCGATGCCCGCAACTGCCAGCCCAGCACCTATCGCGCTGACTCCGTTCGTGCCGCCGCTGATGGTCAGCAGGTTATCGCCAGGCCTCGCCGAGACGGCGTTGGTCTTGAGGCCTGCGGCTGCGCCCGAAACATCGTCGATGTAAAGCTCCTCGTCCACTCTGAGCTGAGGGGCCCTGCCCAGGAAATTTTCGACAAGGCCGAAGTTGGCAAGCGTGGTGGTGTCCTGGGCCTCTATGCGAACGTTGGTGCTGCTGGCGCGCAGCGTCAGCGCGGTGCCTGAGCTGTGCACGGCGCCCGTCACCACGGGGTCGGGCACGCCGCCGCTGGCCTCCAGGCTGGAGAGCCGCGTCTCGTGGTCGATCACTTGCAGGTTCAGGTTCTGCAGGCCCGTCTCGGTGCTGAACGGCGCGAAGGTGCTGTCGGCCAGGGATCGGGTGTAGAAGCGCCCGTCCGCCTCCGATTTGCTCCAGGCGTCGCAGGTGAGCTCGGTTATGGTGCCGCTCAGAATGTAGGACCATCCCAGTGGGGCACGAGGCAAGATGCCCCGCAGCTGCCGGGGCGTGGCAACGGTATCCCTGAGCTGCGTAAAAACCTCCGCGTTGCCGGTGGTCGCGTTGGTCACCAGGTACCTCAGTGCCCGTGTAGCCAGAGCTGCTCAGATAGCGTCCGTCCGCCTCAGCTTTGGAATAGGCGTCACAGCGGAGCTCGGTGATGGTGCCGCTGAACAGGTGGCTCCATGCCAGGGGCGCCCTGGGTAGGATGCTTCGCAGTTGTCTGGGAATGGACACGGTGTCTCGAAGGAGTGTGAACACTTCTGCGTTGCCAGGGTTGGCGTTGGTCGGGAAATACCTGCTATCGCATTGGGTGCGAGTGTAGTAGTCAGCCGCGTTGAAGCTGTTGCTGGCGATGGCTGCATCGACTTCCGAAGCCGTATAATATGGCACAAGCGCGTCGCTTATGCTGGTGCTGACCTGGCTCTCGGTCCTGTGCTGTGTGATGTTCAAGGCATCGATTGCCCCGGAGACCAC